TATATATATATATATATATATATATATTATATTAATATATATATATAATATAATATCAGTGACCCCTGTTAACGAACTTTTTTCATTAGTAGTATGTTCAGGTGCCATACTGACCGAATTTTTCCAAGGAAATGTTGTGAAGTATGATTAGTCCATTTCAGACCCAACATACACGACAGACCACTTACATAAATACACTACATAATTGTCGCATTTGATGACGTAACGATCTAATGTGCATATTAATGAATATTAATATGTATTAATTATATTATTATTATTATTATATATATATAATATATATATATATATATAAAATATATATATTATATATATAAATATATATATATATATTATATATATATATATATAATATATAGTAGGTTGTTAATAAACCACCCAGGGAGTACTACCGATCTTGCCAAGTGAGTGTAAAAAGAGCTGTGATTGTTTTACATGATGGTAGGGTTCTGAGTCTTTGTCTGTCTAAAAATGCAAGATTACAGATGTCTGCTACTTTCTACTTACACTTATGGTCCAAACTCACATACATTACACATTTATTTATACCTACTCACTTGAGTTCTTTGCATTTTCTTAATAGTTCTTAGTCTTATTAATTTTCCTTTTATATCCATTGGGAAAATGGAATAAGAATTTTCCTCCGTAAGCCATGCGTGTTAAAAGTCAACTAAAATGCCGGGAAACAATGGGAGTAAACCCTTTTCCTGTAAGATTACTTAAAAAGAATAAGAAGAAGAAAATTGTCAAAGTGGGAAGTCTGAATGTGCTGGATGTTGTGCAGATGATAAGAAAGAGATATTGTGGATGTTATGAATGAGAAGAAGCTGGATGCCTGGCTTTAAGTGAAACAAAGCTGAAGGGGGTGGGGGAGTTTCATGGAGAGGAATAAAGGGGTTAGGGCAGGGTTTCAAATAGAGTTAGAGCTAAAGAAGGAGTAGCAATAATGTGAAGGATAAGCTATGGCAGGAAAAGAGGGACTATAAATGTATTAATTTCAAGGATTATGTGGAGTAAAATAAAGATTGGATGTGAAAAGTGGGTTATAATAAGCGTGTATGCACCTGGAGAAGAAAAAAGTGTAGAGGAGAGAGAGAGATTTTGGGAAATGTTGAGTGAATGCGTGGGGAGTTTTGAATCAAGTGTGAGAGTAATAGTGGTTGGGGATTTTAATGCTAAAGGGGTAAAAATGTTATGGAGGGAGTAGTAGTAAATTTGGGGTGCCAGGGTAAATGTAAATGGGAGCCTTTAATTGAGCTATGTGTAAAAAAGAAATTTGGTAATAAGTAATACATATTTTATGAAAAAGAGATTAAATAAATAACAAGGTATGATGTAGCACGTAATGAAAGTATTTTTATTAGATTATTATTGGTGGATAAAAGGTTGATGGTGGGCTCCAGGATGTAAAATGTTTATAGAGGGGCAACTGAAAATATCGGATCATTATTTAGTTGTAGCTACAGTTAGAGAAAGAGGTAGAGGGGAAAACAGGAAGGTGGCAACAACAAGTAAGAGGGAGGTGAAAGTGTATAAACTAAGGGAGGAGGAAGTTGGGGTGAGATATAAGCGACTATTGGCAGAAAGGTGGGCTAGTGCAAAGATGAGTATGGGGGGTTGAAGAGGGTTGGAATAGTTTTAAAAAGCAGTATTAGAATGTGGGCAGAAGTTTGTGGTTATAGGAGGGTGGGGCAGGAGGAAAGAGGAGTGATTGGTGGAATGATGAAGTAAAGGGTGTGATAAAAGAAAAAAAGGTAGTTTATGAGAGGTTTTAAAAAGCAGAAGTGTTATAAGAAGAGCAAGTATATGGAGAGTAAAAGAAAGGTAAAGAGAGTGGGGGAAGAGTGGCAAAAAGGAGAGCAGATGATAGAGTGGGAGGGGCACTGCCCAAGAATTTTAATGAAAATAAGAAAAAATTTTGGAGTGAGTTAAACAATTTAAAGAAAAGCCAGGAAAATATGGATTTGTCAGTTAAAAACAGAGTAGGGGATTTTAGTAGATGGGGATGGGAGGTATTGGGTAGATGGCGAGAATATTTTGAGGAACTTTTAAATGTTAAGGAAGAAACAGAGGCAGTAATTTCATGCACTGGTCAGGGAGGTAAAACCATCTTTAGGATTTGAAGAAGAGCAGAATGTAAGTGTGGGGGAGGTACGTGAGGCATTACGTAAAATGAAAGGGGGAAAAGCAGCTGGAACTGATGGGACCCATGATAGAAATAGTTAAAAGCAGGGGGGATATAGTGTTGGAGGGGTTGGTACTTTTGTTTAATAAATGTATGAAAGAGGGGAAGGTACCTAGGGATTGGCAGAGAGCAAGTATATCCCTTTAAAATAAAGGGAAAGGGACAAAAAGGACTGTAAAAATTATAGAGGAATAAGCTACTGAGTATACCCGGAAAAGTGTACGGTAGGGTTATAATTGAAAGAATTAGAGGTAAGACAGAATGTAGGGTTGCGGATGAGCAAGGAGGTTTTAGAGTGGGTAGGGATGTGAGATCAGGGGTTTACATTGAAGCATATAAAGTGAACAGTATTTAGATAAAGATAGGGAAGTTTTTTATTGCATTATGGATTTTGAAAAGGCATATGATAGAGTGGAAAAAGGGGCAATGGGCAGATGTTGCAAGATATGGAATAGGTTTGGGAAGTTATTAAATGCTGTAAAGAGTTTTATGAGGATAGTGAGGCTCAGGTTAGGGTGTGTAGAAGAGAGGGAGACTACTTCCCGGGAAAAGGGAGGTCTTAAAACAGGATGTGTAATGTCACCATGGTTTTTTAATATATTTATAGATGGGGTTGGTAAAGGGAAATAAATGCTAGGGTGTTTGGGAGAGGGTGGGATTAAATTATGGGGAATCAAATTCAAAATGGGAATTGACACAGTTACATTTTGCTGATGATAAATGTGCTTATGGAGATTCTAAAGAAAAATTGCAAAGGTAGTGGATGGATTTTTGGGGAATGTGTGTAAAGGTAGAAAGTTGAAAGTGAACATAGAAAAGAGTAAGGTGATGGGGGGTGTCAAATGATTTTAGATAAAGAAAAATTGGATATCAAATTGGGGAGGAGGAGTATGGAAGAAGTGAATGTTTTTCAGATACTTGGGAGTTGACGTGTCGGGGGATGGGTTTATGAAGATGAGGTTAATCATAGAATTGATGAGGAAAAAAGGTGAGTGGTGCGTTGAGGTATAGTGGAGTCAAAAAACGTTATCTAAAGGAGGCAAAGAAGGGAATGTAAAGAAAGTATAGTAGTACCAACACTCTTAATGGGTGTGAAGCTTGGGTGGTAAAAGCAGCAGCGAGGAGACGGTTGGAGGCAGCGGGGATGTCCTGTTAAGGGCAATGTTGGTGTAAATATTATGCAGAAAATTCGGAGTGTGGAAATTAGGAGAAGGTGTGGAGTTTTAAAAAAAGTATTAGTCAGAGGGCAGAAGAGGGGTTGTTTAGGTGGTTTGGTCATTTAGAGAGAATGGATCACAGTAGAATGACATGGAAAGCATATAAATCTATAGGGGAAGGAGGCGGGGTAGGGGCCCTCGAAAGGGTTGGAGAGAGGGGGTAAAAGGAGGGTTTTGTGGGTAAGGGCTTTGGGCTTTCCCCGCCTTTAAAGGAGGGGTTTGGGATATTGGCAGTTTGGAGGATATGTTGTGTATCTTTATATGTTTATGCTTCTAGACTGTTGTATTCTGAGCACCTCTGCAAAAACAGTGATAATGTGCGAGTGTGGTGAAAGTGTTGAATGATGATGAAAGTATTTTCTTTTTGGGGATTTTCTTTCTTTTTGGGTCACCCTGCTTCGGTGGGGAACGGCCGACTTGTTGAAAAAAAAAAAAAAAAAAAAAAAAAAAATATATATATATATATATATATACAGTGGACCCCCGGTTAACGATTTTAATCCGTGCAAGAGGGCTCATCGTTATGCGAAATAATCGTTATGCGAATTAATTTTCCCCATAAGAAATAATGGAAATAAAATTAATCCGTGCAAGACACCCAAAAGTATGAAAAAAAAATTTTTTTTTACCACAGAAATGTTAATTTTAATACACACAAACTGAAAAAGGCATGCACAATTACATGACACTTACTTTTATTGAAGATCTGGTGATGATTGATGGGATGGAGGAGGGGAGAGCATTATCTTCTTACTGTTTAGAAGGGGAATCCCCTTCCATTAGGACTTGAGGTAGCAAGTCCTTTTCTGGGGTTACTTCCCTTCTTCTTTTAATGCCACTAGGACCAGCTTCAGAGTCACTGGACCTCTGTCGCACAACAAATCTGTCCATAGAGCTCTGTACCTCCCGTTTCTTCAAGACTTTCCTAAAATGGGCCATAACATTGTCATTGAAATAGTCACAAGCACGGCTTGCAACAGCTGTGTCAGGGTGATTTTCATCTATAAAGGTTTGCAGTTCAAACCACTCTGCACACATTTCCTTAATCTTTGAAGTAGCACAATGGATTCCACAACTGGCATAGGCTTCTCAGGGTTAGCCCCAAACCCTTCAAAATCTTTCTTAATTTCCATACTAATTCTCACCCTTTTTTACCACAGGGTTGGCACTAGAAGCTTTCTTGGGGCCCATGGTCACTTATTTTCCAGAAACACCACCGAAAACACTGTAATAATACGAAATATTCCGAGTGTATGCTTGGATGTTACCGCGGAGGCTGGCTGGTAAACAATGGGACGGCCGGCACATGTGAGGGCACATTGGACGCGTCTCGGACGAAAATCGGTATGCGGTTTTAATCGGTATGCGGGGCAAAAATTTTGCGATAAAAGTAATCGTTATGCGGAAAAATCGCTATGCGATGCCATCGTTATGCGGGGGTCCACTGTATATATATATATATATATATACACACATATATATTAATAATGCAGCTAAAGGCATAAAGCAAAACTTGTATGATGATAGAGTATATGAGAGACAGTGTGAGGGTGTTGAAGATTGGGAGAAGAATTTACCTGTTGGTCTGGCCGTAGGACGTCCTCTGAGGCCGGCTGGTGATCAAGTAATGGAAGAAAATAAGAGATTAATTCACATGGCAAATAAGCAATTATTTTATCATGAGAACAAGATAATAAAGGAAAGTAAGACGGACATTCACCAAACTAAAATGAAGGTTAATGACAAGTTCGTTTGTTTTATTTTTTTCTATTTGGAAAAAGAAAATTAATGATCAATCCACTGGCAGTCAAAAACCTCCTTGATCCTCCTATTGTTCCTGAGATGATCCCTACCCTTGATGTGCCACTCCAGATTTATACACCCTCCAGGTCATCCTATTCAGCTCTGCTCTCTCTAAATGTTCAAACTACCTGTAACATGCCTCCTCAGCCCTCTGAACTATATCTGTGGTAACCCCGCTAAATTTAATTTATGAGCTTCTAATTCTATGCATAATATTCTCAACAACTCCACTGCCCCTGCCTCTTTCTTACTGCAATGTTTAAAGTCCATGCCTCACAGTGTATAGAAAGAAGTCTTGCAACCATACACTTCTGCACATTCCCTTTTTGTTTACATAGAAAAACTTCTTACTTTCCATGAATAACTCAACACACCACCTACCTTTTTTTCTTTTACATTCTATGCTTTACCTTATCATTCATAGATCCATCCACACATGCATATAACACACACACATACACACATATGCACATATACATGTACTATATATATATATAATTAATAATATATAGGTGTACTACTCTGTAGGAAAAAAATATTTACAATACAAAAGATTCTTGGGGTCTTCAAAATTATTTTGTTTTACAAATAATGTATATAATGATTTTAAATATAATGATTAAATAAGTGTTTTCCAAATGCACGTTTCAACGAGTAAATACAAGCCTTATAACAGTACCAAGGATATATACTATATATACTAGGTACTGTAATATCTTATTACAGTAAACATAATATATCATGAGTACTGTAATATTTTAGTATTGAGCCCTATGTTATTTTTCTTGACAATTATGGATCAGCAAGTCCACTTCTAGTAAAGAACATTTTTGCTAAAATACTGTTTTTGTTGCAGAGTTTGTGTAATTTTTGACACAAAATGACGTTTCTGTATTTAGTCACTAAGAAGACGGAAAACCTCTTCTGGATGGACTGCTGAGAAAATAAAAGCATTAAGAACAATACATACATAAACCATCATAACTCGAGACTGAGGTTTTCCCAGGTAAATTTCAAGCAAAATATACAAAATTAATATTTAATCTCATGATATAATTCTGTTGAAAAGAATAAATGATCAATATTTTTAAACACTCACATAAAAACACATAATGAATAAACCTCAAATGGTACATATGTATGTAGATAAATGGTTCAGAGAACCAACAAGTTGATAAATTAGACAATTGTGCAACACTTGGGTATCTTAATCGTGAATCTCCACACACTGTGGCAAAATGTTTCCACGATGAAGACACCCAAGTGTTCCACACGTGTCTTAATTTATCAACTCAATTGGTATAACATAACTAGACCCAATGTTTGTAAATTAAAGAAGTGGCAATCATGGTGCTATTAGGACATGATGGTGATGTGAATCTGTGCAAAGTTTGCGTCAATAAGAGTGAATCAACTGTAGATGCCTCTAATCTCTTTAAATAATAACACAAATGGCAAGGAATAATATTCCAAGAAACTGAAAGAATGCATGTATGAAGAGATTAACAGTGCTGAATTTGCTGCTTTCAGCAATAAAATGGAAACACTTGTAAAGAAAAAAAAAAGCTGGCAGTCTGAAAGGATAAGTCACACTATTGTGGCTGGAACAATTCACAACTAACCACAAAGCTGGAGATAAACCTAAACGATGTTTCAATCCACCCTTGACTACTGTCAAACCTCCATGTGACTTGATAATGGTCCAGAAAGGACCGAAACATTGTCTAATTTCACCTTTGCCTTGTGCATTAGTTTTTTAAGTTGTGGACAGCTTCACCCCTTCGGCAAAATTTACCGTAAAGTCTGTGCAGTGGAATTAAAAAAAAAAAATGAGGTTCACCTTTTGAGCTGGTGCCTGGTCAGGGGGTGTTGGGCCAGTTCTGCTAGGGTCGCTCAGCACCTGACACACGGAGAGAGAACACGTAGTAACAGGCAACACTGCAACACCACGCAGAAGACTCTTGCAAGACACCACAGGGAAGTGGGACACAGGAGGGGACACAAAGACGCGACACAGAATTTTCGAGCAGAGAACCTAAGGATAACTGCAGGAATGATTTAGTAAATACTGTCATTGAGGGGAAGGGTGAAGAAAAGACAGACGGTGTAAAAGAAGCAATCATTATGAAAACGTTTCACTCAATGTAGAGCCAAACGTCCCAATAAAAGCTTGTCCTGCATCGTGTGTTGTCTTCACTGTTGTCAGCAGTGTGCCATTTGGATCCACTGACAGGGATGTTCAAATTCAAAGCGATATAAAATGCCCAGGAGGGAACAATGTTTGGAAAGAAACATGCATACAGTATAATGCACATGCAACAGCACAATATTTTCATACATTAACATGCATTGCACAGCGACATGTGATGAGTCACAATTAGGAAATACAAGGAAATACACTGTATTTGTAAGAGGAAAAGTTTACCCTGAAAATTTTTTTTCAAAAGTCTATACAAACACTGGAAGAGACTGAAGAATAATATATATTATTGCAGAAAGAACTGCTTTTATATATGTATAGGCACTTAAACTTAAGTTTCAAATAAATATAGACTGGTACAAATGAATCCATATAGAGAAAATAAAACAGAAAATAAGAAGAGTACTGTAAGATAGAGTAAGAGCACAAAATCTGGGACGTATAAGACACAGAATCACAACATTTCACTCGCTCAAACCTTCCTCAAGTTTTTTATTAACCTTATTAACATGATAAAGTTCCTGCATACCTTCTGTATCTTATATGTCTAATGGCACTCTATATATTTTGACAGCACTGAAGCTCTCTTCACTAGATCACTGAGGAGGGCTTCAGCTGTTTGCTGAAATAAGCAGTAATCTTCCAATCTTATATCCTTTTTTCCATGTGGTTTCTTTTGCAGAGCTGACTAGTATTAATTACACTCTTGTAATTATACTCGTCAAGAGTCACAAATCATACACCATAAATAAAAAATCTTGAGAGGAATTCACCTAAAGGGTAATATACAAGATTAGCTAATCAAACTAGAAATAAATGTAAAGATTTTTTTCCATTACCTCAATGGCCATCTCCCGCCCAGGCAGGGTGACCCAGGAAGGAAACACATTCACCATCATTCTTAAAGTAAAAGTATCTACCAAAAATAAAAAAAATCAAAGATGCTACCTCAATAAAAACTGCTTTACCTACGGTGGAAGTATCACTGGGGAGCAGCACAAGTACGAGGACACAAGCTGCAGAAAAGCTTTAGTCTGCACTGCACGTTCCGCTACGTGCAAAGCTCTACCCTAAAAAAAAATCTCCCTCTGCAACCTGTGACCTTGTCGCACTTGTTGCCCTCGTGCCATGTCACCCAGTTTGCAAAAGAAGGCACTGCTACCCACTGGCTAAATAAAAATAAAAAACTGTAAAATAATTTCTGAAAGTGGAGATTCACCTTTTGATCTACAAATGCTGGCTTTCCCTCAGTCGGGTGTTGAGCAACCTCACCCTCACCCTATGAATTAAATGATAACCAACTTCAAATGAAAGGGAATGGAGTTTTTATATATCTTATTTTTTTTTTTATTAAAAAAATATGAATTGGAATTACATATGTCATACAATGTTAATCTTGAAATGGGAATGAAAATATATTATATATATATATATATATATATATATATATATAATATATATATATATATATATATATATTATATATATATATATATACAGTGGACCCCCGCATAACGATTACCTCCGAATGCGACCAATTATGTAAGTGTATTTATGTAAGTGCGTTTGTACGTGTATATTTGGGGGTCTGAAATAGACTAATCTACTTCACAATATTTCTTATGGGAACAAATTCGGTCAGTACTGGCACCTGAACATACTACTGGAGTGAAAAAATATCGTTAACCGGGGTCCACTGTATATATATATATATATATATATATATATATATATATATATATATATATATATATTATATATATATATATATATAATATAAAATATATATATATATATAATATATAATATATAATATATAATATATATATAAGGGTTGTTGAGGTGGTTCGGACATGTAGAGAGAATGGAGAGAAACAGAATGACTTCAAGAGTGTATCAGTCTGTAGTGGAAGGAAGGCGGGGTAGGGGTCGGCCTAGGAAGGGTTGGAGGGAGGGGGTAAAGGAGGTTTTGTGTGCGAGGGGCTTGGACTTCCAGCAGGCATGCGTGAGCGTGTTTGATAGGAGTGAATGGAGACAAATGGTTTTTAATACTTGACGTGCTGTTGGAGTGTGAGCAAAGTAACATTTATGAAGGGATTCAGGGAAACCGGCAGGCCGGACTTGAGTCCTGGAGATGGGAAGTACAGTGCCTGCACTCTGAAGGAGGGGTGTTAATGTTGCAGTTTAAAAACTGTAGTGTAAAGCACCCTTCTGGCAAGACAGTGATGGAGTGAATGATGGTGAAAGTTTTTCTTTTTCGGGCCACCCTGCCTTGGTGGGAATCGGCCGGTGTGATAATAAAAAATAAATAATATATATATAATATAATATATAATATAATATATATATTATATAATATATTATATAATATAATTATATTATATAATATATTATATAATATAATATATATATAATATATATATTATATAATATTATATAATATATAATATATATATAATATAATATATAATATATATATAATATAATATATAATATAATATATATATTATATAATACAGTATAATATATATATATATATATATATATATATATATATATATATATTATATATATATATATATATATATATATATATATATATATATATATATATATATATATATATGTATATAATATAATATATATACAGTAGACCCTCGACCAACAATATTAATCCGTTCCTGAGAGCTCATCGTTAATCAAAATTATCGTTAGTCAGGTTAATTTTCCCCATAAGAAAAAACTATAAATCAAATTAATCTGTGCAAGACACCCGTAAGTATTAAAAAAAAAATTTTACCACATGAAATATTAATTTTAATACACACAAACTGAAGAAGACATGTACCGTTACATGACACTTACCTTTATTGAAGATCTGGTGATGATTGATGGGATGGGAGGAGGGGAGAGTGTGGATGGTGTTAGTGTTTAGAAGGGGAATCCCCTTCCATTAGGACTTGAGGTGTCAAGTCCTTTTCCAGGGTTACTTCCCTTCTTTTAATGCCACTAGGACCAGCTTGAGAGTCACTGGACCTCTGTCGCACAACATATCTGTCCATAGAGGCCTGTACCTCCCGTTTCTTTATGACATTCCTAAAGTGTTTCACAACATTGTCAGTGTCACAATTAAACACTTGTTCAGGTTTCAATTCTTCAGTGTCTATGTACTCCTTGAATTCCTGCACATATTTTTCAGCTGATTTTTGGTCTGAACTGGCAGCCTCACCATGCCTTATCACACTATGTATGCCACTACGATTCTTAAATCTCTCAAACCAACCTTTGCTGGCCTTAAATTCACTCACATCACCACCATCATGCAACTTCCTAGCCTTTTCACATATTTCCTGCTATCTGTTTTTCGTTTATCCACACCAATAACAGTTTCTCAACATCTTCTATCACTTGCGATCTCTGTTTCGAAAACATAGTTGCACCTTTGGCAAGAACAGCTTCCTTGATTGCCATTTTCTTGGCAACAAGAGTAGTGATGGTTGATTGGGTTTTGTGTACAACCTGGCCAGCTCGGAGACACGCACTCCACTTTCATACTTAGCAATAATCTCTTTCTTTATATCCATAGTAATTCTCACCCTTATTGCTGTAGGGTTGGCACTAGAAGCTTTCTTGGGGCCCATGGTGACTTATTTTGCAGGTGCAATCACTAAAAACGCTGTGATAATATGAAATGTTCCAATTGTATGTTTGGATGGGACCACGGTGGCTGGCTGGCTTGTAAACACTGGCCACAAGTGGACGTGTCTCGAACGGAACGAATCGTGTTGGTCGAATTTTTTAGTGCTAGTCAAGGCAAAATTTTTGCGTTAAAATGTATCACTAGTCGGATTTAACGTTAGACAATGCCATCGTTTGTCGAGGGTCCACTGTGGGTATATAATATATATATATATATATATATATATATATATATTATATATATAATATATATATATTATATTAATATATATTCAGTACGTTGTATATATATATATATTAGTAATACTATATATATATATATATATATATATATATATATATATATATATTTCAGGTACGTCTTGCTACTTCTACTTACACTTAGGTCACACTACACATACATGTACAAGCACATATATACACACCCCTCTGGGTTTTCTTCTATTTTCTTTCTAGTTCTTATTCTTGTTTATTTCCTCTTATCTCCATGGGGAAGTGGAACAGAATTCTTCCTCCGTAAGCCATGCGTGTTGTAAGAGGCGACTAAAATGCCAGGAGCAAGGGGCTAGTAACCTCTTCTCCTGTATATATTACTAAATTTAAAAGGAGAAACTTCAGTTTTTTCTTTTGGGCCACCCCGCCTCGGTGGGATACGGCTGGTACGTTGAAAGAAGAAGAAGAATATATATATATACAGTGGATCCCCGCATAACGTTGGCATTGCATAGTGTTAAATCCACATAGCGATACATTTTATCGCCAAAATTTTGCCTCGCATAGTGCTAAAAAATTCGCTCAACGCGATTCGTCCGAGACACGTCCATGCGGCCTGAGCCAGCATCACTTGTTCTGCCAGTGGCATTGTTTACAAGCCAGCCTCCGCGGTAACATTCAAGCATACAATCGGAACATTTCGTATTATTGCAGCCTTTTTATATTGATTTCACCCTGAAGTGCAAACTTTCATGGATGAAAATCACCCTCAGACAGCTATTGCAAGCTGTGCTGGTGACTATTACACTGACACTGTTGTGAAACACTTTAGGAAAGTCATAAAGGAACGAGAGGTACAGGCCACTATGGACAGATATGTTGTGCGACAGAAGTCCAGTGACTCTCAAGCTGGTCCTAGTGGCATTAAAAGAAGAAGGGAAGCAACCCCGGAAAAGGACTTGACACCTCAAGTCCTAATGGAAGGGGATTTCCCTTCTAAACACTAAAACCATCCAGTCTCCCCTCCTTCCATCCCATCAATCATCACCACATCTTCAATAAAGGTAAGTGTCATGTAACTGTGCATGTTTTCTTAAGTTTGTGTGTATTAAAATTAATATTTCATGTGGTAAAAAATTTTTTTTTCATACTTTTGGGTGTCTTGCACGGATTAATTTGATTTCCATTATTTCTTATGGGGAAAATTAATTCGCATAATGATAATCTCGCATAACATTGAGCTCTCAGGAATGGATTAATAGCGTTATGCGGGGGGGTCCACTGTATATATATATATATATATATATATATATATATATATATATATATATATATATATATATATATATATATATATATATATATATATACATACATACATACATACATACATAATCATACACTGTTCTTTAAATGGGAATAGAAATTGTGTCTTACATTTCAGCATTCTCAGAATTGTTTCAAATATGACAGAAATAATAAATAATAATATTATTTGTGTTATCCATATTTTGTTCTCGTTCATGCAGGCTATTTAAAGTAAGCCTTTTGAGTAACATATGAGATGAAAAAGGAGTTTGAAGTAAGCTTCTGACAAATGAAAGTTTAAAAAAAAAAGCTGAAGTCAATGTTTTGAAGTATGAATGTGCTCAAAAAGGGGTTTAAAGTAAGCTTTTTGAAGGTGCTTGATAAAGAGCTTATGAAAACTGATTTAATGCATCTTAAGGGTATAAATTATATATGCATATATGAAATAATCACCTCTTGGCTAGCCTCAGCTGGCTTAGGCACCTGTTCAGAGGGTTGGGTTCCAGTGGAAGGCTGTGGACATATGTGCTTTGTTATTAATTAAACACTGCCAGCCAAGCATATGAACATACTTGTCTGGATATATAGAAGACCCAAATGAAATGCAAAGTAAAAAAAAAAAAAAGACTAAATCAGTATAGAACAAATTTTTATGTACAAATGAGATGTAAATATGACGTCATATGATTGCAAACACAATGGAGTGGACATACTTAAAAACTTCAAGATCGTGCTTTTGTACTAGTAAAATGCTCTTGATGCAAGGAAATGGAGCTACCCTCCTTTTCTTTGGATGAAACTGGATTGCCTCCCATTTCCCCAGCACTTTTTAACTCCTATGGATTACAGCTCTGCCACAAAATAACATAAATAATATCTTCAAAAAAAGTAAAGAGTTACAAAACTAAAGAGCCAAAATTCACAAACATAGAAAGTAAAGAAGTAGAAGCATCAGAAATAAGAAAGCTCAGAGAGATTAAAAGATAAATTTGAGATGTGCTTTTGTCTTGGGGTCACTCCTTATGAGTCAACACTCAAGTCTAAGCTAACAGGCAATTTAGTAAAGGTTTTGGTAGCCCTTTATACTTTTAGGGAAATAATTTTCTCTCTCTTGCAGCATCTGGCATTTTGAATGAACTAAGTTAAGCATTCAAAACTTTCCATGCCATTAATGATAAAAGGAAGGAGTTGCAGTAATGTACCCTCAGGTGAAGATTAATCTAGTTCAGTTTGAAAATTCCTGTCACTTGAATAAGAAGCAGGTATGGAAAAAATGTACAATGCAGCATGTCATCATATCACAATGCCCAAACATGAGTTCTTTATAGTACAGGGAAGGGAGCAAGCAGCCAACTAAGTATTATATAAATAATGGCCTCGGCTACAACGACACTGAGCCAAGGGAGAGGGAAGCACTAGAACTGTATCAGCAGTAAGTGATCTTTGAACCACTGCTACAGTATGTCAGCAGCCTTAACTAGGGTAATACACACACACTTACATCAGAGCAAGCCTTTAATATGGCAATGTTTTATTCAAGGAGAGCTTTGTTAAATTTTAACAAAGCTCTCCTTTAGCAAAACATCACCTTAATGAAGGCCTGTTCTCCTCTAAGTGTCTTTGTCAGCACTCTGCCTTCCAACCAGCCTTAGCTAGGGTGGGGGATCACCTCGACTGTGACTGCTCCATCCAAGTGATGCTCTGGTGCTTGTTCCCCCTCCACAATCACCTCAGGAATCATGGCCTCAACACTCGGGGTGGCAGGGACAGCTGTAGTGGAGGTTGTGGTGGTGGAGGTGGTGAATGGAGCAACAGTTGATGTTGTTGAGTAAAGGATTGTTGAAGATGTATAAGAAGTGGTTAGGGCAGCAGTAGTATATGTGGTAGATGTCACAGTGGTTGTAGAGGTGAAGGTAATTGAAGCAGAGATGGTGGATGTAACAGCTGTAGTAACATGGATGTTGCTTGTACTGACTGGGGCACCTTGGCCAGATAACACCTCTGTCTGTTCCACAGGTAGTGGAACCAACACAAACTTTTCCAAATCTTTCACCTGCTGTTGCTCTTCTGCCTGGGCCTGTGCCTATCACATGTGAGAGGGGAAAGTAATAGTTGAAGTAGAATTTAAGAAAGTTGTAAGGAGAGTAGAAGTAAACTCAAATAGAAGAATAAATCTACTGTATATACATAACTGCTACATTTTGAACATGAATCCATCAGTCTACTAACATACATTTCTCAGGTAAGTACACTGTATGTTGTTTGAAATGAGTCTACAAATAGCTCTGAAAAAATATAGAACTTGAAACAAATGTGACTCTTACAGTAACATATTGGGCAAGTACTACAAAGCAGATGAAAACAAAGGCACTTCAAATACACACAAAATACCAAATATTTTTTAGACAATGTTCAAAATTAAAAAAATGTTAAATAAAAAAAAAAATAATCTTGGCTATGGTAGTCTGGTGAATACTGTAAAAACAAATATTGTAGTAGAGAATAAATGCTACTCTGTCTGGGAAAGAAATCTTTGTAAGTGATTATTCAGAGTGGCGTGAAGACGACAACAAAGTTAAACAGCCTGTGAGGTGGTGCTGCTGATGCTGGTCATGGCTGCTTCTTTGTCTATGGTAATACTAATTTTTTTTTCATTTATTTTCACATTACTGTGAAGACGGTGTGGCAAATTATTTAACCCTTTCAGGGTCGAGAGGCCTTCTCCTAAACTTGTTCTCAGGGTCGAAAAATTTTCGGAAAAAAAAAAACAAAAATTATTTTTTCTTATGAAAAAATAGAGAATTTTTTCCTGATCATAATGACACCAAAAGTGTGAAATTTGACAGAAATCTTACGGAATTATGCTCTCGCGAAGTTAGAGGTCTCGATAATGTTTACGCATCGGTGATTTCGCCCACTTTGAGCCCTATTTTTGGCCAATTCCATGTACTAGTCGACAAAAATCATAACCATTTCACTAGAACTCCTTTTTTTCTATCGAATGAGTACAAGAAACCACCCATTTACTGATTTCAACTATCCAATAAAGTGGTCAGAAATTAGCAATTTTCCCAATTTCACACAAATTTCAAAAGATGCCAATTTCCAAATAGGGTCCAGAATAAACAAGACAGACATTCCTGGCACTAAAATAACATTTCCTCTCTTCATTAGTCACGTCCCCAGGCCCCTCTTACATTTATTTTGCTTCTTCTTCTTCTTATGACCAGAGCTTTGTTAAGATTGGGTGATTCTGAAGAGAAGTTGCAGAGGTTGGTGGATGAATTTGGTAGGGTGTGTAAAAGAAGAAAATTGAAAGTGAATACAGGAAAGAGTAAGGTTATGAGGATTACAAAAAGATTAGGCAATGAGAGATTGGATATCAGATTGGAGGGAGAAAGTATGGAGGAGGTGAATGTATTCAGATATTTGGGAGTGGACGTGTCAGCGGATGGGTCTATGAAAGATGAGGTGAATCATAGAATTGATGAGGGGAAAAGGGTGAGCGGTGCACTTAGGAGTCTGTGGAGACAAAGAACTTTCTCCTTGGAAGCAAAGAGGGGAATGTATGAGAGTATAGTTTTACCAACACTCCTGTTTGGGTGTGAAGCATGGATGATGAATGTTGCAGCGAGGAGAAGGCTGGAGACAGTGGAGATGTCATGTCTGAGGGCAATGTGTGGTGTGAATATAATGCAGAGAATTCGTAGTTTGGAAGTTAGGAGGAAGTGCAGGATTGCCAAAACTGTTGTCCAGAGGGCTGAGGAAGGGTTGTTGCGGTGGTTCGGACATGTAGAGAGAATGGAGCGAAACAGATTGACTTCAAGAGTGTATCAGTCTGTAGTGGAAGAAAGGCGGGGCAAGGGTCGGCCTAGGAAAGGTTGGAGGGAGGGGGTAAAGGAGGTTTTGTGTGCGAGGGGCTTGGACTTCCACAGGGCATGCATGAGCGTGTTTGACAGGAGTGAATGGAGACAAATGGTTTTTAATACTTGACGTGCTGTTGGAGTGTGTAACATTTATGAAGGGATTCAGGGAAACCGGCAGGCTGGACTTGAGTCCTGGAGATGGGAAGTACAGTGCCTGCACTCTGAAGGAGGGGTGTTAATGTTGCACTTTAAAAACTGTAGTGGCAAGACAGTGATGGAGTGAATGATGGTGAAAGTTTTTCTTTTTCGGGCCACCCTGCCTTGGTGGGAATCGGCCAGTGTGTTAATAAAAAAAAAAATTAACCCTTTGACTGTTTACGCCGTATATATACGTCTTACGCGCCACTGTTTCTGACGTATTAATACGCGTAAATTCTAGCGACTTCAAATCTAACGGGAGAAAGCTGGTAGGCCCACATATGAGAGAATGGGTCTGTGTGGTCAGTGTGCACCACATAAAAAAAATCCTGCAGCACGCAGTGCGTAATGAGAAAAAAAACTGTCCGTTTTTTTGGATTAAAACGCCGACTTTGAGGTGTATTTTCGTATAGTATTTATCGTTGTATTCTCGTTTTCATGGTCTCAAGTGATAAAATGGTAAACATATTACAGAAATAGAGATGATTTTGATTACTTTCATGATGAAAACGACCTTGAAATTGAGCTCAAAGTAGCGGAAATGTTCGATTTTTACCAATGTTCAGGAGTAAGCAAATCACACCACAAGTCCATACACTCACTTGACAGGACGGTGGTATCTCCCTGGGTGGTTGCTGTCTACCAACCTACTACCATAATATATATATAATATATATATAATATATATATATATAAATATATATATATATATATATATATATATATATATATATATATATATATATATATATATATATATTATATATATATATATATATATATATATATACATATATATATTTTTTTTTTCAACAAGTTGGCCGTCTCCCACCGAGGCAGGGTGACCCAAAAAAGAAAGAAAATCCCCAAAAATAAAATGCTTTCATCATCATTCAACACTTTCACCACACTCACACATAATCACTGTTTTTGCAGAGGTGCTCAGAATACAACAGTTTAGAAGCATATACGTATAAAGATACACAACATATCCCTCCAAACTGCCAATATCCCAAACCCTTCCTTTAAAGTGCAGGCATTGTACTTCCCATTTCCAGGACTCAAGTCCAACTATATGAAAATAACTGGTTTCCCTGAATCCCTTCACTAAATATTACCCTGCTCACTCTCCAACAGATCGTCAGGTCCCAAGTATCATTCGCCTCCATTCACTCCTATCTAATACGCTCATGCACGCTTGCTGGAAGTCCAAGCCCCTAGCCCACAAAACCTCCTTTACCCCCTCTTTCCAACCCTTTCGAGGACGACCCCTACCCCTCCTTCCTTCTCCTATAGATTTATATGCTTTCCATGTCATTCTACTTTGATCCATTCTTTCTAAATGACCATACCACCTCAACAACCCCTCTTCTGCCCTCTGACTAATGCTTTTATTAACTCCACACCTTCTCCTAATTTCCACACTCCGAATTTTCTGCATAATATTTACACCACACATTGCCCTTAGACAGGACATCTCCACTGCCTCCAACCGTCTTCTCGCTGCTGGATTTACCACCCAAGCTTCACATCCATATAAGAGTGTTGGTACTGGAGTTTACCTGGAGTTTACCTGGAGAGAGTTCCGGGGGTCAACGCCCCCGCGGCCCGGTCTGTGACCAGGCCTCCTGGTGGATCAGAGCCTGATCAACCAGGCTGTTGCTGCTGGCTGCACGCAAACCAACGTACGAGCCACAGCCCGGCTGATCAGGAACTGACTTTAGGTGCTTGTCCAGTGCCAGCTTGAAGACTGCCAGGGGTCTGTTGGTAATTCCCCTTATGTGTGCTGGGAGGCAGTTGAACAGTCTCGGGCCCCTGACACTTATTGTATGGTCTCTTAACGTGCTAGTGACACCCCTGCTTTTCATTGGGGGGATGGTGCATCGTCTGCCAAGTCTTTTGCTTTCGTAGTGAGTGATTTTCGTGTGCAAGTTCGGTACTAGTCCCTCTAGGATTTTCCAGGTGTATATAATCATGTATCTCTCCCTCCTGTGTTCCAGGGAATACAGGTTTAGGAACCTCAAGCGCTCCCAGTAATTGAGGTGTTTTATCTCCGTTATGCTCGCCGTGAAAGTTCTCTGTACATTTTCTAGGTCAGCAATTTCACCTGCCTTGAAAGGTGCTGTTAGTGTGCAGCAATATTCCAGCCTAGATAGAACAAGTGACCTGAAGAGTGTCATCATGGGCTTGGCCTCCCTAGTTTTGAAGGTTCTCATTATCCATCCTGTCATTTTTCTAGCAGATGCGATTGATACAATGTTATGGTCCTTGAAGGTGAGATCCTCTGACATGATCACTCCCAGGTCTTTGACGTTGGTGTTTCGCTCTATTTTGTGGCCAGAATTTGTTTTGTACTCTGATGAAGATTTAATTTCCTCATGTTTACCATATCTGAGTAATTGAAATTTCTCATCGTTGAACTTCATATTGTTTTCTGCAGCCCACTGAAAGATTTGGTTGATGTCCGCCTGGAGCCTTGCAGTGTCTGCAATGGAAGACACTGTCATGCAGATTCGGGTGTCATCTGCAAAGGAAGACACGGTGCTGTGGCTGACATCCTTGTCTATGTCGGATATGAGGATGAGGAACAAGATGGGAGCGAGTACTGTGCCTTGTGGAACAGAGCTTTTCACAGTAGCTGCCTCGGACTTTACTCTGTTGACGACTACTCTCTGTGTTCTGTTAGTGAGGAAATTATAGATCCATCGACCGACTTTTCCTGTTATTACTTTAGCAAGCATTTTGTGCGCTATTAAGCCATGGTCACACTTGTCGAAGGCTTTTGCAAAGTCTGTATATATTACATTTGCATTCTTTTTGTCTTCTAGTGCATTTAGGACCTTGTCGTAGTGATCCAATAGTTGAGACAGACAGGAGCGACCTGTTCTAAACCCATGTTGCCCTGGGTTGTGTAACTGATGGGTTTCTAGATGGGTGGTGATCTTGCTTCTTAGGACCCTTTCAAAGATTTTTATGATATGGGATGTTAGTGCTATTGGTCTGTAGTTCTTTGCTGTTGCTTTACTGCCCCCTTTGTGGAGTGGGGCTATGTCTGTTGTTTTTAGTAACTGTGGGACGACCCCGTGTCCATGCTCCCTCTCCATAGGATGGAAAAGGCTCGTGATAGGGGCTTC